AACCGGCCGAGCTAGAGGCTCAAGGACAGTGCGGTCACGAAAGAAAGAGCGAGAAGCACCTGAGTCCAGTGTGAAGGTGTGCAGTGCTGCAGTCGACTCAGTACCAGGGGGCACAGACGCACAAGCACCTAGAGCAGCAGCTGCAGTAGTACCTGTGGAAGCAGACACACTAGCACCTAGAGCAGCAGCGGGGCTGGCCTGAATGCCCGGGTCGGGCGGAACACGCAAGTACTGAGCACCCTCTCCACTAATAGACATCGCATACATGGCAGTGAGAATAGCATCAAAGTCTAGTGCCCAAATATCAACACCCTTCCTGAGCAGCTCAGCCCAGCGCGGCAGCTCACCCCCACCAGGAAACTGGGTGCGCCACGCGTCGTTGAGGCGGGCGAAGCAGCGCTCCGTCTGGTGCGGCCCCCCACACGTCTGGCCAGTGCGGTCACCTGTACGAATAACGTACTGGCAGGTGACGCTGCGCCGCGCATACCACTCACGGGCGGCCTGAAGGGTCGGGGCAGGCTGCTGACTCTGACCGCCCCCCGGGCCTCCACGACCACCACCCCCTCCGCCTCCGCCCCGGCCACCTCCACCCCTGCCGCTGCCACGACCACCTCCGCCTCCGCTGCCACCTCCGCCCCTGTCACCACTCCCAACGCCGCTGTCACCTCCACCACTGCCGCCACTAGCCTCTCCAGTCGCACCTCCACCGCCACCACCTCCACCCCCGCCTCCTCCGCCACCACCCCCACTCCTGCCACTCCTGCCCCTGCGTCGTCCGCCTGAAGCAGACGCAGCCCCGACCTTCTCAGCACCAAGGAGGTCGACAGCAGCAGCAGATGCGACAGAGGGGAGGAGGGGGGAAGGGGAGCACCCCTCGAAGAAGGGGCCGCGGGGGTCGCCACGAGAGGTGCCTACAGCGACGATACTAGCCTCGGCTGCAAGCAGTTCCTTCTCGAGGAGGTCTACGGTGAGCTCAGTGGGGGAGCGAGAGAGGAACTGGTCCCTGACAGGGCGCAGAGAGTCAGGGAGGCGGGTGACAACGTGGTAGAGAGTGATCCAGAGCGGGGGGGGGTTGCTAGCGAGGAACTCGTCAGGCATGGCAGCGCGAAAGCGAGCCTCACTAGTCTTAAGGTGGGTGATGAGGTCTGCGACAGTGTGAAAGGAGGCTAGGTCGGGGAACAGGTAGGGGAGAGTGAGGCGGCCTAGCGTGGCAGAAGCGGGTGAGGAGTAGCGGGCCACTACAGCTGTGTAGAGGTCCTTAGCAGTCTTGCACTGGCCGAAGTGCTCGCGCTCATCTAGCGGCAGGGAGTTGCGAATAGCAAAGCGAGCGTGCGCGTCACGGGTCTGCCACTGTGAGCGCTCAGCTGGGGGGGCAGTAGCGAGTGGGGCGGTCGCATGGCCGAGAGCGTGGTCGTACAGTGTAATATCTTCCTTGGCAGTGAGCTGTAGGAAAAGGTGCAGGTCATCTAGCCAGGTTTCGAATTTGACCGGACGGCCCTCGGCGTCGAAAGCTAGAACAGGAGGACTAGCCATAGCGACAGCGGCAGAAGTAGAAGCAGTAAAGTCACTGAAAAGGCGTGCGCAGGGTCAGCGGGGCCGGTGGGGCCTACGGACTGTAGTGGCGCACAAGCAGCAGTAGCAGGAAGTGTAGTAGTAGGATCTGCAGTGGTGCACAGGCGCAGCAGGCGGCAGCGAGAGCCGGCGCAGCAGGGGCGGGCTCAGCAGCGGTGATACGCGGGCGGCGGCGGGCGCAGCAGCGGCGGTGCGCGGGCGGCGGCGGGCTCAGCAGCGGCGGTGCGCGGGCGGCTGCGGGCTCAGCAGCGGCGGGCCGGGAGCAGGCAGCGCGCGGGCCGTGCGGGCCGTATGTGAGCTGTGCGGGCAGCGTGCGGGCCGGCGGCGGTCAGCGCACGAGCCGCGCAGGCTCAGCGCGGGCTGCGCGGGCTGCTCGCGGGCTGCGTAAGCGGGTCGCGGGCGGCTCGCGGGGGTTCGCGGGCAGGTCGCGGGCTGCTCGCGGGCAGTTCGCGGGCTGTGCGCGGGCTGCGCGGGCTGGTCGCGGGCTGCGCAGGCGGTTCGCGGGCTGTGCGTGGGCGGTTCGCGGGCTGTGAGCGCGGCGCGCTGTGCGGTTCGCGGGCGGCGTGACGGGGCCGATCGGGGCGCTAAGGGGCGACGCGACGGGGGCCGTGAGAGGCCGCTAGGAAAAAAAAAAAAGTTCGACGGGGCCGCAGGGCCGCTAGATCGTGCTAGATCGACGGGGCCAGCGGGGCCGGAAACAAGCGAAGGTAAGCAGGTAGGTAAGTCGGTGGGCCCTAAGAACAGTCCTAGCGAAGGACCTGCTCTGAAACCATGTCAGAAATAACTGAGCAGGAATGATGTGACTAACAGGAACAACAGTACAAATATGAAACCCTAACCTGGTATACCCCCTAAGGTATCACCCACTACAGCCTAGAACAATATAAACATATAATGTTTGACAGGCGGTAACCGACATTGCCTATGCCAGTGTATGCAGCTAGCCTGAGGCTGGTGTTGATTGTTGATCCTGTTGACGACATCTGGTGGTTGAAGACTGCCATAGTTGACTTGTCATTATGCAACCACAGCAGCTTCACTGACTCTAGCCCTTCTGCAGACAAGTGGACAGAGAATGCGTTGAACACTTCCTCTAGTGCAGGGTAGTACTGTATTTTCTCGGGCGGGTTTAGAAACAAGAGCTGAAACGTCACTAAGTAGGCTTTGTTCTGCGCAGAGCTTTAGGGTATACAACACCAATAAGGGAGACAAAAACCAGCTGTTATGATTGTGGCCGCGGGACCTTAGTATGGTGGATAGCAACACTGTGTGACCTTGCTACGTCACACTCCCCTACATCCGCCACGTCATCCACAACTCGGCCCACTTGCCATGTCACACCCCCCTACCACAAGTCACGTCACCCCCCCACCCACCTGATAGGCCTCTTCCCGTCACGCGCCGCTCCCGTGTACCCTCCAGACCACCACGGCATCTCCAACCTGCACCTCTCGCCACGTCACACCTCCCTGCATCCGCCACGTCATCCACAACCCGCCCGCCTTGCCATGTTACATCCCCCTACCACAAGCCACGTCACCCCCCACCCACCTGACACGCCTCGTCCCGTTATGCGTCGCTCCCGTGTACCCTTCAAACCGTCATGTCATCTCCAACCCGCACCTTTTGCCACGTCACACCCTCCTGCATCCGCCACGTCATCCACAACCCGCCCCACTTGCCACATCATACCCCCCTACCACAAGCCATATCACCCCCCACCCATCTGACATGCCTCATCCCATCACGCGCCACTCCCGTGTACCCTCCAAACCGCCACGTCATCTCTAACCCACACCTTTTGCCACGTCACACCCCCTTGCATCCGCCATGTCATCCACAACCCGGCCCACTTGTCACGTCGCCTCCCACCCACCTTACACGCCTCGTCCCGCTACGCGCCGCTCCCGTGTACCCTCCAGACTGCCATGTCATCCCCAACCCGCACCTTTCGCCACGTCACACCCCCCTGCATCCACCATGTCATCTACAACCTGGCCCACTTGCCACGTCACACCCCCCTACCACAAGCCTCGTCACCCCCCACCCACCTGACATGCCTCGTCCCGTCACGCGCCGATCCCGTGTACCCGCCAAACTGCCACATCATCCCCAACCCGGCCCTTTTGCCACGTCAACCCCAACCTGCCCCATTTGGCCCACCACATACCGGGAATGGCTTCGTCTCCTGCAACACTAGCACTCATGCCTTGTCCACGGCACTCATTGGCCGGGGGGTACCAGCCATTGGCACCACTGCGAACCCCCCCGCATAACTACCAGGTGCTCACAATGCATGCAAAGCTGGGAAAACATGGCGTACATTTCAGCCCGGAGCGCCTCAAACTCCTCCCGTGTAACAAACTGCCCCTGCTCCGCACTTGCACCGAGGGCACTCATGGGATTGGGGCCAGGGTGTGAAGAATCTTCCCTTTGGCCAAGGGGATCAATGTCATCTGTGGCATTCCTGTGTGCCCTCACACTATCACGCTGGTGGGAAAAGGGCAGCTACGCCCGTGCGAAGGACCGGCCAGGGGGGAGACCGCCCTGCGCTCGGACAGGAGATGCGTGGAGCTGCCGTTATGGGTATGAGGGCAAGGGGAGTGGGGAGTGCGTGACGCGGCCTTGTGGAGGGGATTCGACATCCTCTCCTCCCGGGGTGCTGGGTGTTGTAGCAATGACTCTAGACGGGCCGCTGTAAGGCGTGAAGAATCGCGGGGCTCCTGTGGATGGTGGGGTAACACTCACTCTTCTGGCCCCCTTTGTTAGCTGCATCCATCGCACGCTTTCTGGTGGCCCAATGCTTGTAACTCGAGGGGCTGAGAGTTATAGGGAGCATAAGCACAAAGTTAGAGTCGACTAGGTGCAATACACGTCACACATGCACGCAAATGAGTAGCGTAAGAATCTAAAAAGTGTTTAGGAAGGGAGTCTTTCAGGAAAAAGAGGCCTTATCTTGCTTTGCAGATTTGTCGACCTTGCCTTTTCCTGCAGGGGGGAAAATAATGGTTGTGTGGCGTTAATGGAGACGATTTGGCAAAGAATACGACAGCCACGCCATGTGTATGGGCCACAACGCTTACCTTGCTGCTGGCCCTTAGGTTTAGCTGCCTGCGCCTGCTCGTTGCCACCTTTCCGCGAGGTGCTTTGGCGGCCACTGCGATGTTTACCAGCAGCTTCCTTCTTGGCCGAACCCACTGGAACATCTTTGGTGCGGCCACCCTTTCCCCCTCCATCCCCTTTTGCGCCTTGGCTTCCTTTCTTCTTACCACCCTCTTCAGTTTCGACCTTCACTTTATGCGCCTTCGACTTGCCCGGTGCTTCGTCACGCGGTGCATCAACTGCCCCGCGTTTTGGGGAACAACGAGTCCGGCCCCCCACCTTCCGTGCACCACTCCCCCGTCTGCCTCGCACTCCTGGGACCTTCACTACCACCACATCATCGTCCTCTTCCTCTTCCGCTCCTTCCTCCTCCTCCTTCTCCGCCTCCTCCACCTCCGCATCCTCCTCCTCCTCTTCCTCCTCCTCCTCCTCCTCCTCCTCCTCCTCCTCCTCCTCCTCCTCCGCCTCCTCCTCCTCCTCCTCCTCCTCCTCCTCCTCCTCCTCCTCCTCCTCCTCCTCCTCCTCCTCCTCCTACTCCTCCTCCTCCTCCTCCTCCTCCTACTCCTCCTCCTCATCCTCACCCCCATCATCCTCCTCCTCCCCCTCGCCATCCTCCTCCTCCTCCTCCTCCTCCTCCTCCTCCTCCTCCTCCTCCTCCTCCTCCTCTTCCTCCTCATCGTCCCCCTCCTCGTCCTTGTCGTCGTCCTCGTCGTCGTCGTCGTCCTCCTCCTCCTCCTCCTCCTCCTCCTCCTCCTCCTCCTCCTCCTCCTCCTCCTCCTCCTCCTCCTCCTCCTCCTCCTCCTCCTCCTACTCCTCCTCCTCCTCCTCCTCCTCCTCCTCCTACTCCTCCTCCTCATCCTCACCCCCATCATCCTCCTCCTCCCCCTCGCCATCCTCCTCCTCCTCCTCCTCCTCCTCCTCCTCCTCCTCCTCCTTCTCCTCCTCCTCCTCCTCCTCCTCCTCTTACTCCTGCTCCTCCCCCTCCTCCTCCTCCTCCTCCTCCTCCTCCTCCTCCTCCTCCTCCTCCTCCTCCTCCTCCTCCTCCTCCTCATCCTCCTCCTCATCCTCCTCCTCCTCCTCCTCCTCCTCCTCCTCCTCCTCCTCCTCCTCCTCCTCCTCCTTACTCTCCTGCTCCTCCCCCTCCTCCTCCTCCTCCTCCTCCTCCTCCTCCTCCTCCTCCTCCTCCTCCTCCTCCTCCTCCTCCTCCGCCTCCTCCTCCTCCTCATCCCCCTCATCCCCCGCATCCCCCTCATCCTCCTCCTCCGCATCCTTAGCGTCTTCTTCGTGCTTTTTCGGCCTCTTCCCCCTCGCTGCTTGCTTGCCCCTCCTTCCGCCGGTTTTTTTCCGCGCTACGAGTCGGCCCTTCTGGCGCAACGCGGGACCCGTTGACTTGCCACTTGCTTCCCTGGTGCCTCACGTTTTCCCAACTTCCGTGCCACTGACGTCGTAGCACTGCCTGTCGTCAGTCGCCTCTTCAGCCGCGTACTGATGGCACCAGCCAGGGCGGTGTCATCTCAGCGACGTGCTGGTTGGTGCCGACTAGAAGAAGAGCCAGGTCGACGAGGCTCTTTACTTCAAGGTCGGCGACGACGGAGTGGCCTGCTGGGTGCTGGTCTACGTTGACGACCTGCTCGCCGCCAGCAGTAGCAACACGATGCTGAAGGAGCTGAATGAGCTACTGGAGGCCGCCTTCGAGCTGCGCAAGATCTCGCCGGTGGAGAAGTACCTCGGGCTGGAGATCGTGCACGACAGGCCGGCATGGAACTTGTTGCTGCACTAGCAGAACTACGCTGACAAGCTGCGCAGGCGGTTCTTGGACGAGGAGCTGACCGGACGTACCCCGAAGACGCCGGTCTTCGTCGACGCCTACGCCGAGCTGACGTTTGACGACGAGGAGGCTCAGGAGTGCAAAGAGGAGGAGTACCGGCAGAAGGTCGGCTCGCTGCAGTTCGCGGCGACAACGACGAGGCCGGACATCGCCTTCGCTTGCAGCAAGCTGGGGAGCGGCCTCATGGTGAGGAGCGACCAGCACTGGCGCAAGGTCGACCGCTGCCTCGCCTACCTTGCCGACACCCATGACACCGCCCTGGAGTTTGGCGGTGGACCAGAGTCGCTAAAGCTGGTCAGCTACGTGGACGCCGACGACGCCGACGACAAGCAGAACAAGACGAGTATGGGCGGCTACGTGTTGGTCTACAGAGGGGCCGCAGTCTCCTGGTCAAGCCAGCGCATCAAGTGCGCGACGCTGTCGTCGACCGAGTTAGAGTATGTGGCGGCCACCAAGGCCAGCAAGGAGGGACGCCGCCTTTGCTTTCTCCTTGCAGAGTTCCGGCTGCTGGACCTTGGGACGTTGACCGTCCTTCGGGTGGACAACAAGTCGGCCATCACTATCGTCGAGGGCTTGGGGCTGCAGGGTAACCTCAAGCACATGGAGCGGCGGTATGCCTGGCTGCAGCACATGGTGAAGCGCGGGAAGTTCACGCTAAAGTACATCCCGACCTCCGAGCATCCGGCCGACTTTCCGTCGTCAACCGCTGCACGATCCGGCCTTCAACCGGTGCTCCGTCGCAATCGGCCAAGTGCGCCTGGCCGACGTCGGCTATGATGACGACGACGTGCAGCAGTAGGTGCCATGCCCTCTTGCATGGCTGGTGCGGTGACCGGTATGCTTTGTGTTGTGTGCACGCCAACGAGCTATTCTCCGAGTGGTGCTGTCATGTGGGCTGGAGGCCCAAGCGTGAACATGACAGGGGAGTGTCAATGGGAGTTGTGTGTTGGCCCCATGCTTGCTTGGGCGGAGCCGACTTCGTGGTCGGATGTAGGGGTGCAGCCGACCTGCAGCAGTGGGCGACACCAACTTCGGCGAGCTGGTCGACGAGTCTGGTCGACCTGCATGGGGCCACTGCAAAGCCGCCAACTATGGGACGCCGGCGGTCGACTTCAACCCGGTGGCCGACAAGGTGTTCTGGCAAAGCCGACGTGGGTGGTGGTATCTCGAGGTCAACGTGGTTGATCAGATGCAGTCAACAGCACGTGGACGACTAGGTGTCTGCGCTGTGCATGTGACGGGGCACAGCAGGCCAATCAACTGCGAGCACCCGCGAAGCGGGTGCGCTGCTGTCCTGCGGGTGCAACGCTGTGCAGCCGCCTTGCTGCAGCGTTGGCACACCGTCGACTTGCAGTGTTGGCAGACTGCTACGTTGCACTGCTGGAGCGCGGTCGACCTTGCAGTGTTGGAACGCGGTCGACCGTGCTGCGCTGGCAGTCGACCTGCATGCTTGCTAGCATCTGATGTAGTCTTGCTTGCCAACCTTGTTGCCATCATTCTGAATCATTGTTGTGAACTTTTGCTAGTGAAACTCTTGCCAATTCTCCCCGTGAATGTTCGAATAGAGAGAACACAAGCAAACGACTAAGAAACGCTACGATCACCCCCACAACCATGCCTTCCCCGTGGTCTAGCTCTCGTTGTAATAGTTATCTCCGCAAGTAGCACCACCATCAGATTCGCTTCCATGGCGGCCGCGACCGCCTTGAAGTCCTCCCCGGCTTCTGACGCAAGCGAGACTGTCGGCTCCACAACGCCGACCATCGAGCACGACGCCTCCCCGTCGCCTCGCCCCTTGCCGCTGGAGGTGTCGACGTCCTTCGTCGACGACGCCTTCTTTGATGCCTGCTTCTCTTTGCGCGGCTTCTTGTCCCGGCTTCGACGACCATTGGCCGACCTCCCGCGGCCTCCCTTGTCGTCGTCGTCGTCGGAGTCGTCGCGATCGAGGCACTCGTAGGTGAGGTGGTCGGGGTCACCGCAGACCCAGCACTCCCGCCGTCGACCACCTCCTCTACGGCCCTTGTCCCGTGTCGACTTCGTTTGGTCGACGTCCTTCGTCGACCTCCCACCTCCGCTACCACCTCCGCCCGACTTCCCGCGCTGCCCTTGTTGACGACTCTGCTTCGTCGGGACAATGTAATTCGCATGCGGAAGGAGATCCGTGGGTCGTTCTGCCTCCTGCATCGCCTCATCCTTGATTACGTGGTTGGTGAGGGTGGCCGACTCCTGCACGCCAGGCATTGCCATCAACCGGTGCATCAGGTTGTATCTGCTCGGCAGGCCCTTTACAAGGTGCGTGATGTTGGAAGCCGTCGAGTAGTCGACGCCCGCCATCCTCATGTCGGCGAGGATCCGTCGAGCTCGGTTGCAGTAGTCCGTCGCCAACTCCTGCACGCCCATCCTGAAGTGGGTCGCCTGCTCCTCCAGCTGCCCGATGTACATGTCGTCCGTCACCTGGTAAGTCGACAAGATGAACCGCCACGCTTGGTGGCCTTCGTCCAGTCGAAGTCGACATGGCTTCAGCGCAATTTGCACCATCGGCAAGCAGCACCTCAAGATGACCATGAAGGTCAACAGGTGAGTTGCGCGGAACTCCATCCACAGCTCAGCGTCGTCCTCGCTCAGTGTCGGCACGTTGCCATCCGCAAAAACCCTTCAGCCCAACGATCTCCAGCTGAGGCTCGATAGCCTCTCTCCACGTGATGAGGTTTCGTCAACCTTGCAGCGGCGTAGTCACGACGATCTTGTCCAGCGAGTTATTGAAGTACCTGTACGTCGGCCTGATCCTGCCCGCCCTCACATGCATCGTCGGTGCGAGCCTCCTACTGCTTTACTGACAAGAGCGATATCGCCCGTCGACGTCGGCACACGAGCTGCCTAAGGCCGCCACCGACTGCTGCACTCGCGCATCATTCCTATCTTACTCGTGCCATTGCTGCCGTCAACTTGGTCAACGATGTCGACCACCTCGTCGACGCCGCCTTCATTGTGTACTGGTCGAGAAGATGCTGGTTGGGAAGGGTGTTCTTTCTCCCACTGCGCGCGGATCCCTAGGCGAACCTCCTCCAAGGGGAGCACCGGCCCGAATTTGCCAGCCTCGTGGCGTCTCCTCGCATCAGCCTCCCTCGCCTGTAGTATATCCGCTACGACTGCTTTGGCTTCGTGGCCTACCATTGCAACTAGGACGGTTGCCTGCCTACGAACGACTTAGATAAGTTATAAGTCGAATCCTACTCTAAAGGTAATCTGCAGGGCCGTCCATGCTCACCGCACCATGTGAAGATTCACTCTACAATGGTGGAGCTAGACTACGGGGTTGGCTCGAGTTGTGTGAGTGATCGTAGCTTTGCCTGCGCTCTCTAGCACTTGCACATTCAAAGTTTCACTAGCAAAGTTGGAATACAGAATGAATAAACAAACAACAGCAAGAATGACTATATCAGAGCCTAGCAACCTAGCAGCTAGGCAGGTCGACCGCCAGCACAGCAAGGTCAACATCTGCCAGCGTTGTGTAGAGGCACCGCACCAGCGTTGCAGGAGAGCGACCTGCGAACATAGCAATTCGACGACTTGCAAACGAAGCACCAAGGCGGTCTGCCAACACTGCAGCAGAGCAGCGTACCAGCGTTGCACCCGCAGGTGACAATAGCACATGTGCGCACCCAGTTTGCTGGTGCGCAGCGGTGGTCGAGCACGTTCTCTACCGTCGTGCAGGTGCCAGGTCAGCCACGTGCCGACGGTTGCGCAAGAAGCTCCACGTCGACCTCGGGAAACCAGCCCGATGTCCCCTTCGCCATCGCAGCCTCGACGATGGTCGCGCGCCTTTGCAGAACCTCGTCAATGAGGTAACCTGGTCGACCGGGTCGACCACCCAGCGCGCCCCCTAGTCGACGACCTCCCTCATCAACCACCGCACCCGTTGAAGACCACCCTGGTCGATGGCCCATCCATCGACCGACTCTGACAGCTACAGCCGTCGAACTCCCATTGTCGATGGCTCTGCGACAGTCCCGCGCTGGTCGACAATCGCCTTCACTGACCTGCCCCGTCGAAATCAGCCGCCAGCTCCCGTCGACAGCGGCGTCACAACAGTCGCTTGCAGGTCGACGACACTCGTCGTCCTGCTCGTCTAGGCTGGTGTCGACCACTGCGAACGGTCGGCTGCTTCTCCCGCACACCCAACCAAGGAGTCGACAAGGACTCCCGTTAACAGTGGCAAGGACTGGATTAGTGCATGTTGATAGCTCCTAAAGGACGGTCGAAGCAGCCGTGTCGATGGGAGTTTGACCGCAACGTCCGATCCAGATGGTCGACGGAGGGTTCCGTCGACCAGGGAGGTCTTTGATGGGAGTAGTGGTCGACGAGGGAGGTCGTCGACAAGGTAACCTGCTCGACGAGGTTTTGCGGAGGCACGCGAACGTCGTCGAGGCTGCACTGGCGAAGGCGACTTCGGGCTGGTATGTCGAAGTCGACGTGGCTCATCAGGCGCAGACAACAGCCGACATGACGCGTGAGGGTGCACGTCGGGCCAATCGTCTGCAAGAACCTGCGAACGTGTGCGCTACTATCATCTACGGGTACAACGCTAGACGGCCACTTTGTTGCAGCGTTGGCACGCCGTCCACCTGCTCTGTTGGCAGGTCCTTTCTGCTGCACTGGCGCGACTCCTCTATGCAACACTGGCAGGCAGTCGACCATGCTGTGCTGGCAGCCAACCTGTCTGGCTGCTAGGTTGCTAGGCTCTGATGTAATCGTCCTTTCAATTGCTTGTTCAATCAATTTTTTTTTCTCTAATGCAGCTTTCCTTAGTGAAACCTTTGCCAAATCTGCTCTGTGAACGCAGAGAACGCTAAGGAACGCTACGATCACTCCTAGAACTCGTGCCTTCCCCTGTAGTCCAGCTTCTGGTGTAGAGTGAATCTCCGCATGGTGCGGTGAGCGTGGATCAAACAAGCGACCTTTAGAAAGTAGTCGACCGATCACTTACCTACGTCGTTCAGAAATTATAATATGATCACCTGGGTACAACACGAGGCTATATTTAGCCGACACAAAGGCAGTTACTCAGGTGTTACTCGAAGGTTCCGCGGGTCGCGAAGCGTTCCGGATGGTTCCTTCCTGAATTCGGTAGAAGGCAATTCGGTGGCAACCGAAAAGCCTACAATCCGGTCCACGCAACCTGGAACGATGCTATAGCTATAATATAATATAGTAAGCAACCATTATAAGGAAAACGAGCAAAAGCATGCACAACAGAATATGACTAAGCAAGATAAAGCATCCCAGAAACACCTTGCTCGACAAGATAATCCTAGAGAGCACGGCGTGCATTGCCCATATCAGCTTCTGCAGCCTTACTGTCCTCCGATGTGTCATACCCCTTCCAGCGTATCACGAACTCAAGCGTGTTGTCGCGCCTGCGTCGATGAGCGAGCAGTGGTTCCACCTCATTCTCTGGTTCATCCTGCATGAGAACAGGTGGAAGTGGCGATAGCTTTTGTCCCATAAACAGTTGGTTAAGGTCCTTGTAGGGCTTCTGTAGTTGAACATGGAAAGCATTGTGAAGCTTCCACGTAGTAGGTAAGCGCAAGCAGAATGCTACTGGTTTCACCATCACCTCAATGCAATAAGGACCACAGAAGTGAGGCCGGAGCTTGGACGGAAGATGGGACAAGTCCAAGTTGCGTGTGTCAAGAAGCACCTGATCTCCGACTGCTACTGAGTGATCTCATCGCTGTCGATCGGCATACTACTTCTGGGAGTTCTGCATCGTGGTGAGACGTCGCTGAGTCTTCTCCCATAGCTGCTGCATGGTGGTGACAAAGTCGTGTGCGGCTTGGACGTGTGCCAGTGTGGTTGGCTGCTGTGGTGTAAGTGGTTCCTGCCCATAGCACAGGAAGAATGGAGATTTCCCTGTGGCCGCATGTGAAGCGTTGTTGTAAGCGAACTCAAGCGTTGGTAACTGTAGATCCCAGTTGATAATGTCATCTTTGCAAGCTGTGCGCAGTAACTGTTCAACCACCTGATTGAATCGCTCTGTCTGTCGATTTGTCTGGGGTGGTACGCTGAAGACATCGCAAGCTTTGTCCCCAACAAACCCATGAGTTCCCTCCAGAACTTACTAGTGAACTTTGGGTCTCTGTCTGAGATAAGTGTAGCGGGGATGCCGTGGATGGTGATGATGCGGTCGAAGAAGAGGCGAGCAGTTGCTTCAGCTTTACCCGTGGCGTTGGTCGGGATGAAATGTCACATTTTAGAGATCGATCACCACGAGTGTAGCGTTATGCCCTCGTGAGGTCGAAGGAAGCCCAGTGATGAAGTCTAGGCTGACGACTTGCCATGGCTGCTCCGGTACAGGTAGATGGTGAAGTAACCCTGCTTGTTCTGCTTGCTACTCTTCATCCAATGACACGTGTCGCATAAGATGACGAACTGCTGCTTGTCTACTGCCATCTGCATGTCATAGTGGATGTGAGTTTCCAGAAAGTCCATCCACCACCATTGTCGTCGTGAGAGCGTAGACTACAACTTGAGGTATTTTAGACGGTAGTTTTCGCTCCCTCTAGGTAACACCTCCACACCTTGAAGGCTTTGACTATCGCTAAGGCTTCCTTGTCATGGATTGGGTAGTTCAGTTATGCTCAGTGTAGCTTCTTACTGAGGCAGGCGATGGGCTGCAAACCGCGCCCCTGATCCTGCATCAGTACTGCTCCAACTGCCTGGTCCTTAGCGTCTGCTTCCACCACGTAATCTCTGCCCGGATCCGGTAGGGTGGGTACTGGTGCTGTAGTCATTGCTGTCTATAGCTACTCCATGGCTTGCTGTTGAGGAGTATCCCATTTATAGAGTACGTCCATTTTCAATAAGTTTGTCATTGGCGCTGCTATTTTAGCGTACTATGGCACTAACCTGTTGTAGTAGTTGACGAAGCCTAGGAATTGCTGCAACTCCTTCACGTTCTCCAGAACCTTCCAAAGTCCAGGTAGATCAATATGTCGTTGAAGCACTGGCACTGGCCAGGGGTTGTGTGCGGGCATGCCCCACAAGGGTCATATGGCCCATATGGCTCATGAGCACATGTTTGTGTGGAATTCGTTTCTCACACGCCCCATCCGCCATGCCCTCGGCACGAACCGCTGGACACTCGCTCTCTCCCATGGCTTCTTCCACCAGGTGGGCTGCTGCTCGCTGCTTGATGCTCCTTGCTCCATACTTCTCACGCGCCCCATCCGCCATGCTCTCGGTGCAAACAGGTGGGTTGCTGCTCCCTCCTTGCTCACTGCTTGCCCCTTGCTCCTTGCTGCTCGTTGCTCGCTGCTCGGTGAATGAATATTGGTTTTGAGACGTCTCAAAACCAATCTTCATACACCTTGCTGCTCGCTGCTCGGTGGTCATCTTGGTGAGGCTAAAAGCTTCTCCAACTTCGCGCCAATCACGCCACTTTGCGCCAATCACGCCACTTTGCCGGAACAAAGCACCTTAAGAGCTGGGTCAACGAACGACCTTCCGTGCCCCTCCTGTCCCCTCGCCTCCCCTCCTCCTCACCTCCTCTCCTGTCCGTATTCGGGCGAGGCATTTCACTTGGCTAGATAACCCGCTGATTGCGCCACTTTGCTAGCACGCGCTACCTCAAGAGGGGGGTGGGGTGAACGACCTTCCTCTCCCCTCGTCCCTCCCATCCCCTCCCCTTCTCAGGAGCGCATGTCCATTTTTGGCCGAGTCATTTCGCTGGTGCTCATCGCCCGTCGCTCGCGCCACTTTGCGGGAACACGGTACCTCAAGTGGGGGGTGAACGACCGGGGGCGAGTGGCCAACGAGGTGGAGGTGGAGCAGCTGCTGCTCTGCACCGCTCTGCACCGTGAAGCAACCATTTTCTCTTTTGCTCCCTTCTCCCCACTACCCTCCTCGTCTCAGGAGCGCATGTCCATTTTCGGGCGAGTCATTTCCCTTGTCTTGATAGCGTGTCGCTCGCGCCACTTTGCCGGAACGCGGTACCTGAAGAGGGGGGTGAACGACCGGGGGCGAGTGGCCAACGAGGTGGAGGTGGTGCTCCTTCATGTTGTTGAAGTAGATCAATATGTCGTCCAGGTACACTACTACTCTCGTCCAGCAGGGGTCGTAGGATGTGGTTCATCTCCGCCTGGAAAGTCCGAACAGCGTTGCAGAGTCCAAACAGCATCACTAAGCATCCGTAGGAGCCATATCTGGTACAGAACGCCGTCTTGTGGATAGAGTTGTCTGCTCTCTTGATCTGCGAGTAACTCGACTGTAGGTCCAGCTTCAAAAATATTGTTGCACCACATAGTTGGTCTAGAAGATCGTCTATGCGCGGTATGGGGTATTTGTTATTAACTCTCTGTTTGTTCAGTGCCCGGTAGTCGATGCACATCCGTAAACTACCGCCCAGCTTAGGAGTGAAGAGAAACGGTGCGCCGCAGGGAGAGGTGGATGGGCGGATCAGTTTTCTGTCCAGTAGATACTCTGATTGCTTCTTCATGTCAGTCAGTTCGGTCGGACAAAGGCGGTATGGTGCACGGGAGACGGGTTTCGCACATGATTCCTCCAAGATCTCGTGCTCGTGGGTTCGCGCTGGAGGCACTCTTGTAGGCAAGTCATCCGGCATGATGTCCTTGTGTTCCATTAACACCTCCTGTACTGCTGCAGGTAGTTCCGACTTCAGCTTCGCCTCCTCTGCTGCTGCCATCACCAGTGCTAAGTAACCCATGTTACTCTCGTTCACCGTCCGTTCGAACTTTGCAAGTGTCGTTTCAGGAACATCCCCTGTATCCGTCCAGCTTCGAAGTGTCATTGTTGTAGATGTCCGCCTTTCGGTTGAACCAGTCAATCTCGGGGTTAACCGCTTCAAAAAATCCCGCCCCAAGATGAAATGTAGTCCCTTGATGTTCGTGATTGGCAACGTCGGCTTCCATCTCAACGCACCTATATGCAGCTGCAAGGTTGACTCGCCTTGGATGGGAAGCTTCGTACCGTCCACCATCGTTGCTGTGAACTGGGTTTCCTCCAAGGACTCTCCATTTTTTTCCAACGTGCCACGGTCGCACAACAAGTGGGACGCACCACTCTCCACCAGTGCCTTGAGGCGTTGCCTTTTGCAGAGCACCTCAAGTAGTAGTGGTCGTTGCCGACTTTTTCCAACGTGCCACGGTCGCATAACGAGTGGGACGCACCACTCTCCACCAGTGCCTTGAGGCGTTGCCTTTTGCAGAGCACCTCAAGTAGTAGTGGTCGTTGCCGCACCGTGTAGCCGAAGAAGGTCTCACTTACTGGATCATAGGGTGCGTCAAATTTATCATCCCTAGGTCCTGTGCTTGAAGTTGGGCCTGAAACCTTCCCCTAAGCCTTTGCACCTGTGTAGGCTTCACCTGTGGTGAACAGGGAGCCTTAACACCGTGCTGCTACAAGAGAATATTAACTCCTCGAAACGCTCGACCCTTATCAACGCTCCGGAGTGGGGTCCTCATTTTACCCAATACTGGAATAATTTCTGACTCTTAGTAATATTCTTAGTTTAAGTATGTTTATAGGAAAACTTTAACAAATTCTTACTTGTCGGGGTGTACGGCTGGAGTTTCCCGGTCGGTGCAGGGTCTTGTTTCGCGGAGTCTCCTTTTGTCTCGGCGATTTCCCCTGGTGCCGGCTGGTCGTGACGTTTTAAATTCGCGCCATCATATTATCCTTTTTTTGCCCTCTCCGAAATTGCCACGTTGTCCGTTTTCTGCTTCGGGGGTGCCGCACTGTTCTTGCCCTTCAGCTCTACACGCGCTTTCTTCATTTCCCAACACGCCAAGGTACGGTGTCATGTAGCGCCGCAAAGTTCGCACGTCTCATTTTTGCTAGTCGCTGCTCCGCATCGCCCTTGTCGTTCTCCATCGGGTCGGCAGTCGTGGGTGGTGCCGATCGCTCCACGCCACTATTTGGCTGGTTGCACCGTGTTCCAATGTAGCTACTGTTTAACTCGTCAAACTGTTCGATCATTGTTGCCTAAAACTGCGCCCACGCTCCTTCGCCTTGGACAATCTTTTTGTTAATCCACTCTAGAGCTGGGCCTCGTAACAGTGCTGCCGCGAGCCGTATGCACATTGCGTCTTGGGTGGGGGTCGTGCATCCAACGGCTTCAAAGTAAATTTCAAGTTCAACTACGAATCGACGGACTTCGCTTCCTTTCACTATAGCATCCTACGCTTATGTTTGCCTCGACTTCGCTGTTTCGAGGTTAACTATAGCTGCTGTCATTGTTGCAGGCACAATTGTCGGTGTCACCGCCGTCGCTGCTGCTGCTGCTGCTGCTGCTACCGATTGGTTTGCAAGGAGTTTTTTGAGTCGTGGAGCGTCGCACGTGTCTGCTCCTTCTCGGCGCGTAGCTCCGCAATTTCTCGTACGAAATTATCACTATTTTCCTCCATTTGGCAATGTACAGGAAGATGTGAGATGAAAATAATTTGATTCTATGCGCTGGTCGACTTACGGCAAAGCTAATCGACTGTAGAATGGTCGAGCGCGGATTATGTACGTCGCGTAATTTTCTCGAAGTCAATTTCGCGTCCGATCTTGGTAGGGTGAATAACAAAGAGGATCAGGGTGAGGTGATGTACACCGTGGACCAAAATATACGAAGGTACTGGAGAATGCTTTCAGTGAGTCGCAGTCCAACCCCTTTAATAGATGCAGCTCACTCACCTCTCTCTGAAAGTCTACGCCTATCAGCTTGGAGCGCTTCACAGCCCAGTATTGGTGCGAACACGGGGAGAGACGCCCTTGTAGACATCGCCAAAGGCACCTGAGCCAAGGAGGTTGTCGTCGGACCAGTCATTGGTGGCCTTGACGACCTCAGCCAGCGAGAACTCCGTGCACTGTGAGGCTGCCAGGCTGCTGTGAGGATCTAGGATCGAGCTCAGAAAAGAGAGTTTGAATTGAATCGAATTGAATGATCACCTGGGTACAACACGAGGCTATATATAGGCTCGACACAAGGGGCAGTAACCAGGTGTTACGCGAAGGTTCTGGGGGTCGCGAAGCGTCCCGAACAGACCCTTCCCGAATTCGGTAGAAGGCAATTCGGTGGCAACCGAATAGCCCAGAATTTGGTGTACGCAACCTAGCTCGGTGCTATAACTATAATATAATATAGGAAAGCACCTAGCCTAGGAAATCAAGCAATTCATGCATGCATAAAATAAACCTAAGCTAGAAGTAGCATAATAAAGTAAAGGCAAGCATGCATAGCTGGCATAAGCCGTCGTACTCTCACAGCTGCCTCCCATGCCTGCTCGTGGTGCGACGGTGGGTGAAAGGTGAAGGGTGAAGGTTGAAGGTTAAAGGGTGAAGGGTAAACGCTGAACGGTGACGTGACAAGGTACTCAGAGAGCCCTCGTTTTACCTTGTCTGACCAATCATGGAAAAGGGAGAATAGGGAAAAACGATTGATCCTTAAGAAGAAAGAGCAAAAGCAGCATTAACATCTGCTGCTATGCCTGTGTTGTTGTGCCGACTTGCTTTGGTTTGTGCTGATGTAGATGTCAACAGGAGCAAGGAAAAGCGGCGGGGGAGGGAGGGGGGCAGTACGGTAGGGGAAGAGACGGTAAAAAGGGACCGACTCGTCAAAGGTGACGTCCTGAGAGGCGAAGACCCGGCGCGAGGTGGGGTGGTAAAACTGCCAGCCCGGCGCGTCAGGGACAAAGCCAAGGAAGACACAGGGAAGCGTGCGGGAGGAGAGCTTGTCCGCGGACGTATCGCGGACAAGGGCACGAGCACCCCACACCCGGAAGCGCGACGCATCGCCAACCTCCCCCGTCCAACGCAGTGTGGGCGAGGTCTCCGGCAAGGAGACACGGGGCCAGAGGTTGAGCTGATGCGCGGCGTACCGGACAGCAAACGGCCACAGAAAATGGGGAGCCGCCGCGTGGACCAAGGAGGTACGAGCGACCTCCATGACCAGGCCAATGCGGCGCTCAGCAACCCCATTCTGCTGTGGGGAGTCCGGAAGCGTGAAGGTCTGCTCGATGCCCTCCGCCTGACAGAAGGTCCTCAAGAGGTCGGAGGAAAACTCACCACCTCTGTCAGAGTGCAGACGCAGGACAGGAAGATCCGTCCGGAAACGGCGGCGGAGCTGGAGACGAACTGTGCGGATCCAAGGGATCAGAACAGCAGGGACCTCACCCTTGGTGCGCAAGGGGAAGACCGTGGTGTAACGCGAGTAGTCGTCGACAACCAGCAAAAAGTACCGCTCACCGCCCTGGCCACGAACGCGGGCTGGGCCCCACACGTCCAGGTGGAGGGTCTGCAGAGGAGCCCCTGTCGGGGGGAACGAGGAGTGAGGAGCGGCGCGCTGCCGCCCCTCGACGCAAGGAAGGCAAGGCGGCGCAGGCGAGGAAGGGAGAGGAGGGAGGGACCTGGGAAGACCAGACACAAGGCGGCGACGGTGCATGCCACGGAGGCGTGGCAAGGAGGGGTGACCCAGGCGGTGGTGCCAGAGAAGAGTCTGGTGCGACAGGGAACGACACTCACAGGCGTGGGCCACCAGACCTGACGCGGACACCTGACCGACAGCAGCGACCTGAGGAGACGCAGTGGTCAGTGTGTAGAGACTCGACCCCGGCCGACGAGTAAACGTAGCCAGGTGACGGCCGGTCCTGGAGCACGTGCAGATCGCCACACGCTGTCCTCCAGGGGTAAAGGTGTCAACCCACTGATCCTGGATGACAGCGTTGCTCACCAGGTTCGTCGAGAACGAGGGGAGGTGGAAACCCGTCAACGAGCCAGACGGAACCGCCGGACAAGGGAGCACAGTGGTGGACTGGGCAAGGACTGGGCCCCCAGAGGGGTCAGCCAAGGAGACTGGGACCGGTGCAGGAAGCGGTGTGAGCTCAGTACTGTCTCGAAAGAAGCAGCGGGAAGCACCTGAGTCAAGGGTGAAGGTGTGACAGGTCTCAGCCGGTGCAGTACCTGAGAGAGCAGTCTCTGTGGGTGCTGTACCTGAGAGAGCAGACTCGCAAGCAGCAGGGACAGTGCTGGAGGGAGCAGGTACAGGGGGCACCATACCAGAGAGAGCAGACTCACTAGTACCTAGGGCAGCGGGCCCTATACCTGGGTCAGGCGGCACACACAAGTAACAGTCTCCCTCGGCACTAACAGTCAATGCATACATGGCAGCAATAATAGCATCATAGTCAAGAGCAAAGATATCAACACCAGCCCTCATCAGCTCAGCCCAGCGAGGGCGCTCAACATCCTCGCCCATCTCCTCACGCCAAGCGTCGTCAAGGCGGAAGAAGCAGCGGTACTGAGTGTGGAACTTTCCACACGTCTGCCCCTTGCGATCACCTGTGCGAATGACATAGGAACAGCGGCCACTGCCCCCCGACGTCCCACGCTGAGCAAGCCACTCACGAAGCTGCTGGGTCGACTGGGGACGCTGCTGCTGCTGGGAGCTCTGGCCCGAGCCGGTGCCTCCACTCCGACCTCCACCGCCGCCACTACCTCCGCTCCGACCGCCACCACCGCCACCGCCACCGCCACTACCGCCACCGCCGCCACTGCCGCCGCTGCCACCACCGCCACTGCTCCCGCCGCCGCCCCCGCCTCCGCCGCCGGCCCCACTCCCACCGGCACTCCCGCCACCGCTCCCTCCAGCACCGCCTCCCCCCCCACCTCCCCCACCCCCTCCCCCCCCAGCGCCACCCCCGCCACCCTTGCCCCCCTTGCCCTTGCCGGTGCGGCGCCTCCCACCAGGAGCAGAAGCAGCGCCAGCAGACTCAGCACCAAGGAAGTCAACAGCAGCAGCAGTAGCATAGGAGGGAGCGAGGGGAGAGGGAGAGCACCCCTCAAAGATGGGGGTGCGAGGAGCGCCGCGAGCAGCACCTACAGCTACAATGCTCTTCTCGGCTGCTAGCAGCTTCTCCTCTAGGAGGGCGACAGTGAGCTCAGTGGGACAGCGAGCAAGGAAATAGTCGCGCACTGAGCTGAGGGTGTCAGGGAGACGGGTGACTATGAAGTGGAGTGCCCAGTACAGGGGAGGGGGGTTCTTAGCGCAGAACTCGGTGGGAAGGGCGGCACGCAGGCGAGCATCACTAGTGCGAAGGTGGGTGATAAGATCGGCGACTGTAGCAAAGGTGGACAGGTCAGGGAACAGGTAAGGCAGCATGAGACGGCTAAGCTCGGCTGTGGCAGGTGAGGAGTAGCGAGCAACGACAGCGTCGTATAGGGCTTTAGCGGTTTTGCAGTCGCCAAAGTGCTCTAGCTCAGCTAACGGCAGGTGACTGCGAATAGCCAGGCGAGCTGCAGCGTCACGAGTCTGCCACTGTGAACGTACACTAAGCTCGGCTGTGGCAGCAGGAGCAGCGGCAGCACCAGACGCGTAGTCATAGAGGGAGATGTGGTCCGTGCTATTGCTCATAAGATACAACTGCAGGTCGTCGAGCCAGGAAGTGAACTGCACGGGACGGCCCTCAGCATCGAAGGAAAGAACGCGAATAGAGGCCATAGCTCAGGCGTGAGGGCACAGCAGAGCAGCGGCAGCAGCAGAGGGGACGCGCTAGAGCGAAGCTAGCAGCCACAGCAGGAGCAAGCGGCGGTGCACAGGCAGGGAGCAGCAGGCGAGGCGGGCGGCGCTGCAGGCGGGAAGTGCGGCGGGCGGGCTGCGAAGCGGGCAGCGGGGCGGGCGGGCGACGCGGCGAGCGGGCAGCGCGGCGGGCGGCTGCGAAGCGGGCAGCGGGCGGGCGGGCGACGCTGCAAGCGGGCAGCGGGCGGGCGGGCGACGCTGCAAGCGGGCAGCGAGGCGGGAGGGCGACGCTGCGAGCGGGCAGCGGGCGGGCGGGCGACGCTGCGAGCGGGCAGCGAGCGAGCGGGCGACGCTGCGAAGCGGGCAGCGGGCGGGCGGGCGACGCTGCGAGCGGGCAGCAAGCGGGCGGGCGACGCTGCGAAGCGGGCAGCGGGCGGGCGGGCGACGCTGCGAGCGGGCAGCGAAGCGGGCGGGCCGCGAAGCGGGCAGCGAGCGGGCGGGCGGGCTGCGAAGCGGGCAGCGGGGCGAGCGGGCTGCGAAGCGGGCAGCGGGGCGAGCGGGCGACGCTGCGAGCAGGCAGCGCGGCGGGCGGGCGGCGAGCGGGCGGCTCGGCGGGCGGGCGACGCTGCGAGGGGCGCGCGAGGGCGCTAACGAGGGGCGCTTCGAGGGCGCTAGCGAGGGCGCGCGAGGGCGCTAACGAGGGGCGCGCGAGGGCGCTAACGAGGGCGCGCGAGGGCACTAACGAGGGCGCGCGAGGGCGCTAACGAGGACGCACGAGGGCGCTACGAGGCTAGGGCACGGGGTAGCGTGGTAACCGCATGCGAGCGGTGGTGGGCCCTTAAAAGAAACGGTCGATAGGTCCTAGGGACCTCCTGCTCTGAATACCATGTCAACAGGACTAAGCAAGAATGTGTCATTGAATGGAAGAATTGGGTACAAGTAGCAAACCCTAGTTGGGGTTGTACCCCATACTGGCTACCCCACTACAGCCTACCAACATAACACAGTTTAACAGTAGAACCAATTACTAGCAGCAGTAGCAACAGCAGCAGCAACAGCAGCAGCAACAGCAGCAACAACAGCAGCAGCAACAGCAGCAACAACAGCAGCAGCAACAGCAGCGAGTCTTTGTCTCCAGGTGGAGGTGGTGTATCAGTGGGAGCCATCATTGGCGTCGCTGTTGCTGCTGTGGTCCTTCTCCTGCTTCTGGCCACCATACCGCTCTGCTTGAGGCACTAGAAGCAGCATATTACAAAAGGTGGAGACCGAAAAGACCAACGCGAAAAGACCGAGAAAAGACCAATGCCAACGCTCCAAATTCCAACGTTTTTGGGCGAAATTAACTAGGCCATTGAGATGAGATCCGATCTGACGGTCGAAAATCCAGATTTTTTTGGCAATAAACCTGAGGAAGTTCGAAAACCAGATCGAGGGAGCCTAGAAAATTTGCGCGGAACTAGTTTACATGCCCGGAATCGACGCTTTCGTCGTCTCCCCCGCGGTTTTTTAAAGGCTGGGTTTTAGCGGTCAAAGACTTCGCATGTAAACGAGCTCTGATTGCCAAGTGTGAGGATCAAGGAGCTGGTTCAGAAATTAATAAATGATTTCCTGGATACAACACTAGGCTATATATAGGCTTGTTACAAAGGCAGTAATAAGGGTGTTACTACAGGGTTCCACGGGTCGTGAAGCGTCCCGAACGGGTCCTTCCCAAATTCGGCAAAAGGCAATTCAGTGGCAACGGAAAAGCCTAGAATTTGGTGCACGCAACCTATAACGGTGCTATAACTATAATGAAGTATAGTAAGCAACGATTCCAAGGAAAACGAGCAAAAGCATGCATAATAAAATAAGACAATGCAAGATAAAGCATAATAAGGTAAATCCTCAGTAGGCAGAGCCGTCATACCCTCACAGACCCTCCCCTTGGAGGTGGTTCAGCTGTGCATCCGTGCGCAGTGGGCGACAGAACACCCTTCCCGACCTTCATCTCCTCGACCGGTGCAGAACGAATGCGTCGTGTACGAGGAGGTCGACTGTGGTGACCGAGTCAGCCGCAGCGAGGGTAGGAAGCAGCAAGGAGTGATCAGGTCCACTGGCGTCTATGTCAGCGGGACGCAAGCGCGGGTGTAGTGGTCAACGGCAGCCGCAGGCATCTCGTGTGCTGACGTCGACGGGCGATGACGCTCTCCTCAGTGAAGCAGTGGGAGGCTCGCGTCGAGGACGCATCTGACGGCGGGTGGGATCGCGCCGGCGTACGGGTACTTCAAATTCTCGCCGGACAAGATCGTAGTGACTACGCCACTATAAGGTCGACAGGACCTCATCATATGGAGAGAGGCTATCGAGCCTCAGCTAGAGATCGCTGGGCTGAAGGGTTTTGCGGATGGCGATGTGCCGACACCGGACGAGGACAACATCAAGCTATGGGCGGGAGTCCCGCACGGCTCACCTGCTGACCTTCATGGTCATCTCGAGATGCTGCTTGTCGATGGTGCAGATCGCACTGAAGCCGTGTCGACTTCGACTGGACGCAGGCTACCAAGCGTGGCGGTTCATCCTGTCGACTTACCAGGCAACGGCCGACCTGTACATCGGTCAACTCGAGGAGCAGCAGACCCACCTCCGGATGGGCGAGCAGGAGTCGGCGACGGACTGCTATAACCGTGCTCGACGGATCCTCGCCGACATGCGGATGGCGGGCGTCGACTACTCGACGGTCCTACATCACGCACGTTGTGAAGGGCCTGCCGAGCGGATACAACCTGATGCGCCGGATGATGGCGATGCCTGGCATGCGGGAGTTGCTCGACGAGGACACCATCACCAGCCACATCATCAAGGATGAGGCAATGTAGGAGGCAGAACTCCACACGGAGCTCCTTCCGTAGGCAAACTACGTCGCTCCGACGAAACAGGGAAGTCAAGAGGGGCAGCGCGAGCAGCCGAGTGGAGGTGGTAACGGAGGTGGGCGGTCGAGGAAGGACGTCGACTAGGCGAAGTCTACTTGGGAGAAGGGCCGTGAAGGTGGTGGTCGACGGCGGGAGTGAAGGATCTTCGACGAACCCGACCACCTCTCCTTCGAATGTCCCGAGTGAGACGATAGTGATGAGGACGACAATAAGGGAGGCCGCGGACGGTCGGCCAGCGGCAAGGGCCGAGGCAATGGGGAGGTGTCGTGCTCGATGGTCGGCGTGGTGGAGCCAACACTTCCGCTTGCAACAGAAGCTGGAGAGGACTTCAAGGCAGCCGCGGCCGCCATGCAAGCAAATCCGATGGTGGTGCTGCTCGACAGCGGTTTCTCGCACCACCTGATGGGGACGAAGGAGGTCTTCGTCGACATGGCGCCGAGCGGCGACGTGAAGCACGTGCGCGGCTTCAACGGGGCTCTGCAGACCGTCGAGGGCCGTGGCACTGACGCTCTGCAAGGGGAGGCGAACCTGCTGTCAGCCGGCCAGTTGCAAGAGACCGGTGTGAAGCTGCAGGATGACGGTGACGAGATGCTACTCGTGTCGAGTGCGGGCGAGGTACTCAGTCGAGCATGCTACTCTGGCCGTGTCCTCTACACCGACCTCCGTCCCTGCTCAACAAAGCCGTCGTCAGAGTTGACCAAGGTGGTGGCTCTGCGGACGATCGCTTTAGTGAAGAAGTCAAACCTCGACCAGTGGCACGCGAGACTCGCAAACGTCGGCACCGATACAATCAAGAGCTCAGCGAAGCATAAAGTCCCCACCAGCCTCAACATCAAGTCGTCGACCGGGGCCGACTTGCCGTGTGTCTCGTGCGTCGGTGGGAAGCTGGCGCGGCACACCTTCCCCGACAAGGGCTCGGACGCCGAGGAGGCCTTGGTCGTCATGCACATTGGCCTGTGCAGGCCATTTTGGGTGGTTGCCAAGGACAGTAGCCAGTATTTCCTACTGTGGAAGGACCACCACACTCGGTACGTGTGGGTGAAGCCGGTCGCTAAGAAAAGCGACGTGCTGCGGGTGTTCGAAAAGTGGCTGCTGGTGGTGGAGTGGCAGATGAAGAAGTCGGTGTTGATGCTTTGCTCCGACCTCAATGGCTAGTTCCTGGGAAAGGAATTCACCAACTTTGTCGACGGGAAGGGCATCGTCCACGACTTGAGATGACCGTACACTCCGCAGCAGAATAGCATGGCGGAACGGGGGATGCGGACGACGATGCTGCTACACATGGGCGTGCAGCACCACTGGTGGCATCTCGCTCTGCGGCAGGTTGTCTGAATACGCAACTGCTTGGAACGGTCGACGCTGCTGCCAGGAACGACGCCGAATCAGCTGCTGACCAAAAAGAAGCCCAACCTCACTCTAGCGTGGGTATGGGGCTGCATGGTGCAGTTCATGGTCCCTGAACAACAGCGCGGTGGGAAGCTGGCGCCGAAGGCTCGCTGGGGACTTCACCTTGGTGCGTCGCCAGAGGGCAAGGGCTGGGAGGTGCTTAACTTGACTGACAACAAGGTGGCCACGTCGGTCGAGGTCATCTTCTATGAGAGGCTGTCGCTGGAGGTGTGGAAGGTGAAGTATGGGCTTGCGTCGGGGCGGATGGAGGCACACCCACCGACGGACACCTCGATGGCGATGTTCTCGTTGCTCGCTGAGGTCGACGAGCCTGCTGATCAGGATGTCGATTAAGTCCCACCCTCTTCTCCTCCTATTTTCGTTGCTCCACCCCTTTTCGCCGACCTACTTGTGTCGACACCGCAGTCGACCACCAGCGATGAGGGGAGCCTTAAGGTGTCGCCTGTGGCAGCCATCGTGACATGAGATCCTCGACGAGGGTGTGCCGCCGTCGTTGACAGGGGAGCAGCAGACAGGGGAGCCAGTTTAGAAGGAGGAAGCAGCAGAAGTGCCATCGACAGGGGAGCAGCAGACAGGGGAGCTGGTGGAGAAGGAGGCAGCAGCAGAAGTGCCACTGACAAGGGAGCAACAGATAGGGAAGTCGACAGGGGAGCTGTCGACGAAGTTGGCAAGCGGGCTGATGAGAGGGGAGCAGCCGTTCGAGGGGCTAACATTGGCGAAGCAACTCGTCAAAGATGTGGATGTCGAGGACGAAGGGGAGTTGTCAGCAAGGGAGGAGTCTACTGACAGCGATGTGGTGGAGGTTCTGGTCGGAAAGCCTGAACTGCGACGTTCAGGTCGAACTTGGAAGCCGCCGGAGCGGCTGAGCTTCAACGCCTGCCTACTACCATTTGCTTTCTCTATGCTGCTCAACGACGCTGAAGCTGGCGTCGACCTGCCCGAAATTGACCCCGACGTGCACGCTGACCCCGAGCATCGCTAACGGCGAAGAAGACGTTGGCGAGCTAAAAAGGCAAGGCGGTGAAGGCCGCCATGGACGAGGAGATCCGCAGTCTTATCACCAACGGCACTCGGAAGTTGGTCGAATGCCCGCGCGGTGTCAACATCATGAAGAACTGGTAGTTGCTGATAACAGAGTATGACATCGACGACACGGTAGCCCACGATAAGGCGAGAATGGTTGTGAAGGGCTTCACACAGGTGTATGGCGCCGACTACGACAAGACGTGCGCGCCAATCGGGAGCTACGTGACACTAAGGATCTTCCTCAGTACCGCCGTCGTCCTCGACTTGAACCTGATGCAGCTCGACATGAAGAACGCCTTCTTGCAGAGCAAACTCGATAGAGGCTATACATGTATCAGCCGGACTATTACGACAATGAGACCGGCCGAGTTTCCAAGTTGCTGAAGAGTCTCTACGGGCTGAAGCAGTTGCCGCTGTTGTGGTACAAGGTGCTCAACGACGTGCTGACAGGCGCCAACTGGCATAAGAGCCAGGTCGATGAGGCACTCTACTTGAAGGTCGGCGATGACGGGGTGACCTGGTGGGTGTTGGTCTACGTCGACGACCTGCTTCCCCGCCAGCACCAGCCTTGTGATGCTGAAGGAGCTGGTGGAGGCCGCCTTTGAGTTGCGCGAGATCAAGCCGGTCAAGAAGTACCTATGCCTGGAGATTCTGCACAACAGGCCGGCGAGGAAGCTGTGGCTGCACCAGCAGAGCTACGTTGACAAGCTCCGCAAGCACTTCATCGACAAGGAGCAGACCGCGCGGATCCCGAAGACGCCAGTCTTCGTCAACGCCTACGCCAACCTGGCGTTCAATGATGAGGATGTTTAGGAGCGCGAGGAGTACCGGCAGAAGGTCGGCTTGCTGGAGTTCGTGGCGTCGACGACCGGGCCGGATATTGCCTTCGCGTGCAGCAAGCAGGGGAGTGGTCTCATGGTGAGGAGCGACCAACACTGGTATGGGGTCGGTCGTTGCCTCGCCAACACCCGTAACACCGCCCTGGAGTTCGACGGTGGACCAGAGTCGCTATAAGTGGTCGGCTACGCGGACACCGATGACGCTGGCGACAAGCAGAACCGGACGAGCACGGGCGGCTACGTGTTCATCTTCGAAGGGGTCGTGATCTCGTGGTCGAGCCAGCGTATTAAGTGCGCGACACTCTCGTCGACTGAGTCGGAGTACGTCGCGGCCACAGAAGCCGGAGGAGGCTCGTCGACTTCGCTTCCTCCTTGCAGAGTTCTAGACTGGGACGCTCGACTGTCTTTCGTGTAGACAACCTTTAGTCCATCACGGTTGCTGAGAGCTTGGGGCTGAAGGGCAACCTAAAGCAGATGGAGCGATGCTACGCCTGGCTGCAGCACATGGTGAAGCGTGGGAAGTTCGTGTTGAGGTGCATCCCGACCACCGAGCAGCCGGCCGACTTCCTGACGAAGGCCCTGCAGTTTCAGCCTTCAACCGGTGTTCCGTCGCAATCGGCCAAGTGCGCCTGGCCGACGTCGGCGACGGCGATAACGATGTGTAGCAGTAAGTGCCATGCCCTTCTGCATGGCTGGTGCGGTGACGGCGTGCTGTGTGTGGGGTGCATGCTGACGACGAGTTTTCTCCGTAGAACTCTGTCGTGTGGGTTGGGTGCCCAAGCGTGAGCATGGCAGGGGAGTGTTGACGGGAGTAGAGTGTTTGCCCCGCCCTCACTTGGGCGAAGCCGACGTAGTGGTAGGGTGCACGGAAGGTGCGGCCGACCATCTACTGGTGTGGTCATTGAAAGGCGTCGTCGACCCGTCTTGGGTATGGTCGATGAAGGTCGTCATCGACCTATGCGGGAATGTCGAAGCAATCATCGACGATGGGAGTTCGTCAGCAGCGTCCAATCAAGGTGGTCGACGGAGGGTTCCGTCGACCAAGGAGGTTTTCGACGGGAGTATTCTTTTCCGCAACATGGCGCCAGCCAAACAACTCGGCATTCGCCCCTACAAAACTCACCCAGCCCCCGCCATGGCCGCCTGGAGCTATCTCACTAAAACCTATCAGCCCAAAGACTCCATTTCCTCAAGCCACCTTGTCCAATAACTCATGGAGGTTAAAATGATACCCAACAAAAAGGCAAATGCCTACATCAACCGCTGCCGTAGCATCCGGGACCAGCTCCTGAAGCTCGGAAACTCCATCCCCGAAGACATGTTCGTCACAATCGCGCTTCGGAACCTGGGACCTCAATGGACCCCCTGCAAAGCCCTGCTTTCCCAACAGGGCATAATCTCATAAGCGCACCTATGCACCACCTTGCTACACGAGCAACAAGACATGGACTTCAACCAAGAAAAGGGGACGCACCGCGAGCAAATCGCCTTCTACTCTCACCACGATCAGAGACGGCCCCACGACTCACGCCCAAGTCAATATTACTGCAAAAACAGCAAGATCTTCAGACATTCCACGGAACGTTGCCGCTCAGGACCACGACACGACCTCGCGACTCAGAGCCGCGCCACATCGGCAAGGAGCGCCCTGACGACGGCGTCTACATCATGGATTTCAACATCCCAGACTGCCTTGCCGACTCTAGAGATCTCATCGACCTCCAACCTCAGCGCGCCGTCTGGCCACATGAGCTCACCCATCCTGACGGGCGCCCTTGGGTCAAGCATCACGCTCCCAGGGAGATCGATCTCCATGCACCTAGACTAGATGGTCTCTGTCACAACTGCCGCATGCCCACAGCCTCCACCACGGAAGAGAAGGCCGACAAGGGGAAAGCGCCAGCAAAAAAAAAGGGCAAGGCACCAAGTGAAGGGGAGAAGCGCGAAGCAACACCTGAAGAGAAGGGAAAGGCAAAAGTCGATGAGGAAGCAGCAACAGCAGAGGAAGAATTACCTGTTCCTCCAGACATCGTTGAAGAAGCAGAATGGCAGACCCCCCACCCCACAAGCATGCGAGATGCTGAGCTTGCTGCCGCTCTCACCATTTTCCAACCATGCAAGACTCGGACTGACCCCACTGTCCATGACCGCCTTCACCACCTTACACGCTACATGGGACCTGGTGCCTTTGACGCAGACAACAATCCTCTGCCCTTGACCTGGGAAACGTATCACGCATTCCGCCCCTGGTCTCACTGCAACATGGACTCCGTCGAACTCCAACGGCTGGAAGAAGAAGAGAACCGCCGACGCGCAAACGCTGAAGCAGCAACAGCAGCTGCAGCTGCAAATCAGGGATGGGGAACTGGAACTGGCGCAGCAGGATGGGGAGGAACTACAGCAGCCGCCACCACCAGCTGGGGAGCAAGAAGCAGCACAGCAGCAAGACCATGGGGAACCACTCAAGCAGAGGAGAAAGAACCAATTGAGGACTACATAGCGCGCAAAGAAAAGGAAGCAGCAGGCCCATACGGTCCACCACAACCCATCGGCATTCCCCCCCCCAGGACCCTCCTCCTCTAGCAACTCCTCACGCAACTCCACCCCTCCCATTGACAAAGACACCATCCTTCCCCACAGACAGCGATCTTATACTTGCCCTCGACCTCTCTATCTCACCACAGCCCATCCCACAGCCTGCACCAATCAATACAGCCGAGCTACTCGCCTTCTTTGTATGCTCACCTGCACTTTACGCACCACCTGACCTCTGGCACAAGCGCCTCGGTCACCCCTCTCAGGAAGTTCTCAACAACCGCATTCGCGCCGAATTCTTTCTCCCTGGCACACTGCTCCACCCAGATGGCTCACCAATTACTATTGATGACAGACATCCCGGTGTAGAAAAAAAAAAAAAAAAAATCAACAACGACAACAACAACAACAACAACAACAACAACAACAACAACAACAACAACAACAACAACAACAACAACAACAACAACAACAACAACAACAACAACAACAACAACAACAACAACAACAACAACAACAACATAGCCATCTAACTCTCAAGACCGCCATGGATTCCACCGTGAGGCGTACTATTGTCATCCGCGTTACAACAACTTTTTTGAACATCCTGCTGGATTCGCCCATATCTTTTCTACTAGAAGCCATATCATACTTGCTAACAATGTGTTTTGCTTTTTACAAGGCGTCCAACCTAGGTGTTTGTCAAGCATCAACACGATCACATCTTAAAGACACATTAAGCCATATAACATCAAGAACAACACCACCTTAAGATGTGATCATCAAGATTATTGACAATGGAGCTCCCGAAGTCGACTCATCAAAAACTCAACACCACCTCTAAGAGCGGCTCTAGCCTGACCCAGACAGACATCTATTTAACAATAAGGTGCTCATTCACGAGGCGGCTCAGATCCAAGAGGCTATCATCCGTGTTTTACACGTCCTCTGCTTGCCTACTTTTCATCATCGCACCATGCCGCCGAAGAACCAGCGCACCAAGACCGTCATCGACCCCCCGGTGGTCACTGACAACAATGACGCTCCTGTTGTCCCGGATCTGGTTCCTGAAGAGGTGCGGGACGAGAAGAGGCAACGATCAATGCTACAACTGACAATGCTTCACGGATCGGGGTTAATGGTTGAAGAGAAGGCGGAAGATCAGCAGACAACTGACGACGAGGAATGCTTCAGTGACAATGACGACTCCGATGATGAGATGATAATCGATCTGGATAAGGAGACGTCAACAAAACTATGTTCAACTGCTATTTTGCTGCCTCCCTTTATCCTTCTTCATGAAGTCTCTTGTGTGATCAACGCTGTAATAATGCTGATGAAGTGTGGGTGGTGTGCAGAGCTGTCGTCTCAAGCGTTAGCGACGGCAAAGTTTCAGGTGCTGCAACCAGCGTACATTGCGAAGACACGGTACTGTTGCCTGCTGGTCTCCTTCATCCTGCACGACGACGTGAAAGCAGTTAAGAGCAAAGAGGTGGTGTACCAGAGGCTGAACGGCAACCTAGTCAAGCTGCACTGGCAACATACGGAAAAGGCAACCTTTGCGCGGGAGAAAACTAACCTGCTGGTAACGGTAGGTCCTGACCTGCTGGCGGAGAGGATGTCCGTGTATCGACTGGCTTCGACTAAGCGTCCCGCTTTCACAAGGAGCTCCTGTTTTCACCGCGTGCTTCACCCGGTGACTTGAGCTGACACTGACGTCATCAAGGGCCTGGTCTATGTGCACCCCGGTGACCGTCACCGCTGGATCCATGTTGTACCTGACCTGGCTGACCGCGCGAAGAAGATTCTCGTCCACTACCCCGCGCTTACCTGCTCCTATCAACAGGAGTCGCTGTTGGCCCCGTCATCGCTTGGGCGGAGCCGACTTCGTTGCCGGATGCACGGGGAGTGCAGCCGATCGGCTGCAGTGGGCGACACCGACTTCAGCAGGCAGGGCGACGGGCTTGTTGACCTGCTCGAGGCCACTACCACGCCGCCGACTACAGGGAGCCGACGGCCGACTAGACACGGTGGCCGACGAGGTGGGGCGCCGTCGTCGACCTGGATAGGGGCGCCGGGCAGGAGGGCGCCGGGTAGCAGGGCGCCAAGCTGCGGGGGCGCCGAGCTGCAGGTGGTCGACCTAGCGAGGCCGACCTGGGAGGCGCCGACCTGCTGGCGCCGACTTAGGGGACGCTGGCCTTGCTCAACCGGCGACCGACAGGGCTGGTCGACCAGGCGTGGTTGCCCGGTCGACCGAGCTACCCGGGCGACGAGTGCAAAGGTCGCCGGGGTGGCTTCTGTGAGGCCGACCTCGGAAGTGGTATCCCGAGGTCGACGTGGCTGGTGGGCGCAGTCGCTGGTAGAATGTCTGCGCTGTGTGCGTGATGAGGCCTAGTACACCAACCAGCTGCACGCACCTGCGAAGCAGGTGCACCGTTGTTCTGCGGGTGCAACGCTGTGCAGCCGACTTGCTGCAGTGTTGGCACACCATGGACTTGTAACGTTGGCGAGTCGCTTTTCTGCAGCGTTGGAGCGGTGCGAGATTTGCTACGCTGGAACGCGGTCGACCGTGCTGCGCTGGAGGTCGAACAACATCATAGCTAGCTCTGATATAGTCTTGCATGCCAATGTTGTTGCTATCATCTTGTGAACTTTTGCTAGTGGAACTCTTGCTTATTTTCCCCATAAATGTGCCAGTAGTGTGAACACGAGCAAACGACTAAGGAACGAACGCTGAGATCACCCCTAACACCCCGTGCCTTGCCCATAGCCGAGCTCCAATTGTTAGAGTTTTTTCCGCAGCTCCCTCTGTGAGGTTCCGCATCATGATATGTACCATGATGCTTTCACTCTTGAGAGGCAGCATAATGTGGGTAAATGGAACCCGACCTTTGGGAAAGTGCATGAGCTTAACGGTAATGGCTCCCTCAGTTCTAAGCTTTCTGCTCATTACTTACCTTTTCGGATTACTTACATCGTCATTGATTGTCGTAGCCCAATCCCTCAAAGCCACTCTGCTGATCCTTCCTCTCCACGGAGGCCTAGCCTTAGCATTAATCTCAATCGGAAGCAACACGGAAGAGTGGATCTGTACTCAAGATGGGTGCGGGAAAGCAAAGGGGAAACGCTACATGATGGCGTCAGACCACGTCTTGTCAGCTGCTCACATACTCCACCTGGAGAAGTTCGGCACTGCTACTCGTGTCTCACTCGAGAAGGCGAACCTAAGCATCATCCGGAAGGAGTATGGCTTCTGAAGAAGATGGAACGTGAAGGTCGACGAGCAGCAATAGCAATGATAGTCCTTGCAGTAGTAGGAGTTGTCTGTCTTTACACCCTGTGGGTGCGTAGGGGTTCGCAAGCAGTGATTAAATGAGTAAGAAAAACCACAATACCTTTGCGGGCCTGAACGTCAACGGCCTTGGAGGTGGTGTTAAGCAGCAGCGTATTATAGACTGGTTCAGGAAAGCAACAGACACCGCAGTACTCTCAGACACTAGACTAGATCCATCACACCCTCTCTAGACGCACCCGTCTTTCACCTTAGTAGCCGCAGCCTCACCTCAAGCGAAGGCCGGCGGAGTAGCACTGCTCTGCCGTTGTCCCTCGCTTACCTTCCAAAATGCTATAGCCCACCCTTCCGGTAGAGTTGTCCAAGCTGAAGTCCATGGACCCGGACTCTCCCTTACTATTCTCGCGTGTTACTTCCCAGCAGATGCCACATTCAGAGCTTCCTTCCTCATATCTGTTCTAAGACCCATCGTAGACCAGATCCAGCCTTCATCACATCTGCTCATTGTAGTTGACCTGAATACAATAGAGGATCCCATATTAGACAAAACCTCGCAGATAGGGACATCAACCGGGAATGATAAATTCTTTAACCGATGCAGCCGTTTCCAACTAGCAGACGCCTTTGGAACCCTCTATCCATCCAAGAGTGAATTCACCTTCCACTCACAAGCTCAACAAGTCAGTACGAGGATTGACCAAGCCCGCCTATCCCACTCTCTTTTACCTCACATCATGCCGAAGGAATATATATCGGATCACAGGTTTGCAGTAAGGGTGGCGTTGCGAACAGACGCCAAGATCCGAATCGACCCAAGGTTGTGGAGACTACATGCATCCACAGTTTGCAAGAGGGGTGTCAGGCGGATTGTTGAGGCGACGATGCATCGGCTAGTGGTCACGAATGGCAGCAGCTTTGAACTTCTCCTCACACGACTCAGTGCTGGTCTTCGCGCTTTCGCGGGAGAGGAGGGGAAATGGGTGAAGGCAACTATCACACGTCTGGTTGACATGGTAGCAGAACTGTGCCAAGAAGTGATGCAAAACCCGACCTGCACGCGTACAAAGACGATGTTAGCAGAGAAGGAGGGACAACTTAAAGAGTATTAGGCGACTAAGAAGGATCGATTGCAACTGATGGTTGGCTTGAAGGCGGAGCTTACCGGGAAGATGTCATCGCTGCATCTGTCCGCAATGGTCAAGGCGAGAAAAGAGAGCACACAAATCGCGGAACCACAGACAGCAAATGGTGTTGTTTCCGTCTCCAAAGGCATACTTGCAGCCGCGTCAGCGTTTTTCGCCGACATCTTCGGAGGGGACAGGTGCAGACTCCGTAAAGACTAGAAACCGTTGAAAGGGAAAAAGCTGGAAACATGAGAAGTAGTGGCATTAGCAGCGGACTGGTCAGAACAAGAGATGAAAGCAGCTTTTCGTGCGATGGCAGCGAATAAGTCTCCTGGGAAAGACGGGTTGCCGAAGGAACTCTTCGAAGCCCTTTGTAATCTGATGGGGGAGGGTTTCATGGCATTGGCGAAAGACTTCACGAATACCGCTACCCTCTCCACTGAAGTCAAAAAAGCGGTCACGATTTTGCTGCATAAAAGGGGTGATAAGGACCAGCTGAATAACTACCAACCGATTACGCTACTCAATCTCACTTACAAAGTGCTTGTGGGAGTGACTATGGACAGGATGAAGAAGGTGATGGGGAAGGTGATTTCGAAGGAGCAGTATGGCATTCTGCCGGGGAGGAGACTTACAGACCCAGTGAGACTGATCGCAGACATCATTGACACAGCAAGGAACATAAGTGAAGATTGGTTCTTGCTGCTCGTTGACTTCAAGAACGCGTACGATTCGGTGTCGCGGGACTATATCTTCAAGGTCTTGCGGGAAATGGGCTTCCCTGCATAGAGGCACACAGACACGACTTTTAGTCAACGGTTGGATTGGTGATGGTGTGGAAGTGGCATCGAGGGTACGGCAAGGCTGCCCGCCCGCTCCGTACCTGTTCCTCTGTGTAGTGGAGCCGCTGTCATAGGAGGTGTGGAGGAACAAGCTGGGGCTCAGCAAAGCAGATCAGCGGCTCTCGTAAATTGGATATGCCGATGATACCACGCTAGTTCTGGAAGGAAAGGAGCAGATCATCAAGGCAGAGAAAGTGTTGGAGAAATTCAAACTTACCTAAGGAGTGGAGACGAAAATGGAGAAGTCAGTTGTCTTGCCGCTGGGCAACAATCTG